AAAGTTACATACTCTTCGTGTGTAAGGCATTTCAATGCATGAATGATTTTAAATAGATAAGATATTAGCTTTGAAAAGCTTGTTTCTATCTGTCAACATTTTTGAAAAAGATGAGTAACACTCAAAAATATAAACATTTTAACCTATGGTACCTTATACAAATTTTATATACAATCTTAGGCAGAATCTAAAAATACAAGGTGTTCCATTTAAAATAACAAAGTTGCTGTTCACTTCTGGTATAACCGGAAGTGGCATACCTGTCAAAATATTTTCTTTTGTCATAACTTGTTATCCCATAACCCAATTTTGCAAAGAAGGGCGTTGTAAAGAATGGTCTTCCCTGGCCGTCGTGATTCTTCTCGCGCCTGATTCTGGTCGTCGTGCATGAGATCCAGTCGTTACGATTCGTTGGTATGTTTTTTGCATCACACAACGGCTGACACCAAGATGTCTGGTCACTTCTCTAACTCATTCCATTATTAATGAAAGTAACAATTTGAACAGATCTATCAAATCTCTCCGCCATAGTTTTAAGTTTAAAAATGGCGCAAATTAATTCTTTGAACAACTATATACTAATGCAAGATACAAAACACCCATAAAACAACGCGTGCATTTTCCGAAGTCGTAAAACTGATTAATTCTGCAGACTTATTACCCTTAATTGACCGTTCCGAACCAGTGGCGGTGATTTAAAGTGTGTCGTGTATCTGCATTGTGGGAGTTTAGTTACAATAGAATAAATTGTATAAATTTAAAATTATTGAAAAATATTCTTATAAAATTGTAGGTGGCCTCTTTTCAATGAATATATATATATATATATATATATATATATATATATATATATATATATATATATATATATATATATATATATATATATATATATATATTAATGTGATATTCTAAGTCTTAAGTCAAATTTTGTCATATTTCGCCGCTACGCACGCTGGCATCGTTTCAATGTACCCCTACCATGGTCACGCACGGAGCGAATACACACAGTTTTTTTTGAACTAATAATTTCCGCTTGGCAGAAATCTGTATCTTCAAAAGAATTTTTATAAAAGAATGTATTTTGATTTTTTTTTCTAACTTGCTTACCCTAAATGACGAAGTTTTTACATTTTTAGGGATATTCACAAACAAGTCAGAAGTTAATTTTTTTTAATCCATAAAATCCTTAAAACAATGTTCGTTTACTTTATATGTTTTTCCGGTTTTTTTGCTGATCTCATAATGCAAGCATACTGATCAGGAACGTAAATAGAGCTTGATTTTCTGTATAGTTTTATTGCCTTTTCTATTGTGTCGCGTGTACACTATCACCTTCATTTTGGCTATGGCCGGAAACAACACATTTATGGGTGATTGAATTTATATTTAATTTTTGTATTGCATAAATATAAAGAGCTATTATGAATTTGTTTTTGTTTTGGCCTACACAGTTGTCGGAATAAAGTATACCATTTACTTAAATCTTCTTCATTTTGACTGCTTATATTATTTTCTTGAAAATTAAAAAGACAGGAACCTATTTTATTCGCTCCCCTTTTTGCCTCACCCTCATGCCACATGAAGCAAGTACCTTGATGGTTTTTAATATCATACAATGTAAAATTTATTACATTAAGCTTTGAAACATAATAGAAAGCTGCAGTATCTCCTACAGGACAAGGCAAAACTGCCTGTAGATCAAAAACAATTACTTTAGTATTTTCTGTAGTATTTCTGTCATTGTCTTTTTCTTTGCGACTTAAATCCTTTTCTTTCAAATGTTTCTGATATTTTTCTAAGATATTTTGCTGTTCAATAATAGAGGATTTTTTAAATTGTAAACAAAGGTCGCATTGATCTTTTTTAGGTATATAAAAGGCAGGGTTAAATTCCTCTTCAAAAATTTTTCTGTACATGTGATAGTTTGTCGCTGGTCGTTGTTTTTCTTCACAACTTTTAAGATAGTCACGATGTAGATCTGCAAGAGTTCTGCTTCCTTCAATATATTCTTTGGAAGTATGCGATCTACAGTAATGACTATCTATTCTAGGTATCGAATTTATGTGGCTTCTTATTTCACTTTTTATTTCTTCGTCTACTTTATAGTGGTTGTTATGTTTACCGCGCTTATCAGTTTCAACAATTTTTCCACTTTCGCAAACTTTTTGCTTCTTTAAAACGACTTGAATGACTCTATTATTGATTGACAGTGTAGCTAAAAAAAATATTTGCATACACGTACAGTTTTATTATCGATGATAAAAGAGCATTATTAGGATCTCTTGGATTAGCTGCATTACTGTATTTGTACCTTGGGTTTACACTTTACATATTCGATGAAATATAATGCCGTTGTTTCTCTAAATCTTGTAATCCCCAGTAGTCATTGAAAATGTTTAATCGCTGCTGTTCATCTATTTTTTGAGAACATTGTAGTTTACACTTTTCGCCACATGGTGGTTTAAGCATTATTTTTGGGCGTTTGTCTTTAATTTTTTTCTGACTACCATTTTTAGTTTTTACACTAATTAGGCTAACATAACTTTTGCCGCTATTTCTCAACTGTTTTGCTAAATTTTTTTGCCATAAGCCTGGATTTCTCAATCGTTTTTTTCCTTTTTTTTCCATTTTGGGCGGATCAAGTAATTTTCTGTTTTTTGACAGCTTAATATTTTCTACTTCTCTATTTGAATAAATATCAACAGAATCTGATGACGATTTAATATAGGGTGGATAAGCTTTCTAAAATTCCTTAATTTGGCAACAAACATTGTAGTTTGTCAGACCAAAAATGAAAAAATCATTAGGTCAAAAATGTAACACCCTGTATACAAAACACCTTTGTTAACTAAACTGGTCAATTTTGTTGAAAAAACTATCAAAATCTTTATATCAAATATCAAAAGTTTTACAATTAAACAAACTTATAAGCCTAGGTATTTAATATTTTCTTCATGCACGAAAATAATTGCAGGTCTAAAATATTATCGTAAAAAATTACAAAAAGTATTAAGAAAAGTGTTACATTTTGACAAACCACAAAGGCTGTGAATAAACTTGTCACAAAAGTTGAGTTAAAAGTGTAACATGTCCTAATTTTACAGTAACTATTTAAAAACCAATCAAGAAAAGCGCTACATTTTGATATAAAACAGTATGTGAATAAATTTACTGAAAAAATTGTTTCAAAACAGTTTATTTTTACAAACTTTGTTACAAACGGGAACTAGATAATTTAATCCAAGATTGTAACATTCTGAGATGTATTTCAGTTTCGTTGTAACATTTACATGCATTTACTACTTACTTTTTGCAACAATATAGAATGTATCTTCTTTTTCCTAAATATTTGAAACACTGCACAACACTAACGGTGACAAACTGAGATACAACGATCTTGTACAAAATATTCTGTGAAAAATGCAAAAATCCTCGTGTTACATGCTGACATCTTTGGGCTAGTAGTAAAGATTATCTCGAAACTTCATGCGTTCCTAATAGTAGGCATCTTTTTAATTAGTTTAATGAAATAAATTGAGAAATGAACATTTTTGAGATGTAAACCTTTTCTTCCGAACGATCGATATATTGAAATAAAATTCACACTCAAATATCTTCAATAAAAATATCTCATATAATGATTATCAAAATTTTGTTCCATGTACGTGAACCTTTAAAATTAATGTTCAAATCAAAATTGTTTTTCTAAATCTCTTGATCAAAATATTTCTATCTTTTCTAAAGCAATTGTAAAAATTGTGTTGTTAATAAAGATAAACTGATGAATAGTAAAACTATCTCTCTGATGATGAGTTGTCCAAATCCTTGTTCCTTGTAAAGATAGTTCAAGCACTCCTGACCATGGAGCTGCGCTAAGGCGGAGTCAAATTCACGTAAAGGCGGAAAGGTTCTATTGTAAGTGGAATTATACAGTGCATAGCACAATGCGTTTCGCACAGAAGTGGGGACTAAACCAAATTTCGTCTACTGCGCCGTGGTCAAGAGTGCTTGCACGCACTATAGCCTACCCTATCTATTTTTAGCAGTCCCCTAGGTAATCAGCAGTCTTACAACAAATTGTTGCGAGCCTATCGTCTTTAATGATCTCCTTCAAATGCACGTATCGTTCAAATTATGCTAGCCTCTTCTCCTCTCGATAAACTGAATCTCTCGTTCTGGCCTGAGCAGTGACTCTTGGAATATAAGTATAAAATTTAACTTACAATATTTTACTGGATCAGCTTCTGTCAGATAAACTAACTCCACGAAAACTCACAAACATTCACTTCTACTGCTTCCTACCTCTGGGGAACCACCAGAGAACAACGACTGTTCGCATTGCACCCTTGGAAAACAACTGATTACCTTTTCTCCCTCAAAATCTAGCTAAACTTTACTTCCTACATACCTATCCCCCTTTTTTAATCTCCCCCAATCAAAGCTCGTCATAATTATCCCCATCTCTTCATTTAGATAACAAACAATAATTTTACCTACAATTATAAATTTCCTAAAAACTATTAACATCGGTTAATCGGTTTCTACAAATTCTTAAGAACTAACGGAGAAATATATTTTCTAAATATTACTATCCTATTGTCTTAATTACTGTACAAATCCATTTGGAAAACCCGCTCGCATTGTTCATGATTTCACTAATTACACTAACGTCACTCAAATATATTTTACAAAGAAAGTAATTTATTCATCTCTTTAAAATTTTGTTTACTACAGGTAATCCCGGATAATGGACTTTCACTTCTTCGAAATATCTTTTATAGTTTGTTAGTCGAATTATTTGAATTATTATATTTTGTACTTTGAAATATATTAAGAGCAAACCAATATTATTTTCGATTTTACATATCATAACAATATATATATATATATATATATATATATATATATATATATATATATATATATATATACTTAATAAAAATAAATCAACCATTGTTGAGTTCTACAAACTAATAAAATTTTTAAATTATTTGTAGGTAATCAAAATGAACAAAGTTCCAGTTTTGTGCGTGGAAATTTTACTAGGGAAAGAAGGACACCATATGATAGACCCAGAGAATTCTCTAAAAACCGAAATGACAGATATGATGCTCATGATAGATGGAAGGGACCTAGCAATTCAGAAGATGATTCATCATATGACATTGTTCCAGAACCTCTAAGTCCACTAGAAGCAAAAATTGAAAAATTAATATCAGCAGTTCAAGGTCAGGGCGATAAAATAGGGGAATTAATATTGCTACAAAATAATAATGAAATTCCTCCAGTATTGATAAACAATGCAGTACATCAAGTTAAAAATTGTGTAATGAATATTGACAGAGATGAAGCAACAGGCTTTTCTAAATTGAAAATCAACAATACAGTTATTTGTGAGGGCATGTATTCTTCAAAGAAAGATGCCAAAGAAGCATTGTATGAAATGGCTCTAGATATTTTGAAAATGAAATGTTTTTTTATTTCTTCAAAATCACACTATGAAGAAGTGTCAATGGATGATATAAATAATAAAAAGACAGAGATTTCAGAAAATAATACTGTTGACAACAATAGTGTAGCTATGAAAATGATGTTAAAAATGGGGTGGGGTGGAAAAGGACTTGGTACCAAAGAACAAGGTGAACAAAAAAGTGTTGCAGACAAAATTGTTGAAAATATTTCCAGAGAAGGTTTAGGAGGTGGGGGTAAAAGTGTAATGCAAGAAATTGACAAAATTCTTGCTGATTACGCTAAGTCGACAAAAACTATCACACTGGCATTTGATTCTGGTTTCACAAAAGAGGAAAGGGCTCGTATCCATTCTATAGCAGCTAAGTATCATTTAAAATCTAAGAGTGAGGGAGGTTTTAACAGTAGAAGAATAACCATTAGCAAAAAATGCAGTAAGTGGGTCTTAATTCGAGAATTATTAAGAGCAGGCCTTGAAAACGAGTCATATATTTTGTCTATACCAGAGGAGTTTCAGCACTTATGGACAAGTGATGAAAAATAGTTTATTAATGAGGTATTCCTTTAAGTTTGCATGTGGTAATATTAAAAATAAAATTAATGTAAAGATGTTTTATGTTAATTCATTAATTAAATTGAGACTATTAATTAAATTGAGACTAATATTAAACTATGTATATTTTGAATTTTGTACATACACAATACATAAACAGATTAAAGCTATTTATCTTTCCCTGGGAAAGTTGCATTTTTAATATATTTAATAAGTGTGTAAAATTGTAAGAATTCCTTTTACAAATAAACTGTGTGTCCTATTGTATTTTAAGTTTTTAAATGGTAGATTATTGGATTTCTAAAAATATTAAAAAACACACTTGAGCATTGCCCAAAAAAATTCCTGATCGTCTTAGGGATAATATAATTTGATTCAAACGCATGTTTCAATTATGTTAAAAGATTTTAATGCTTGCTAAATAGCCTCAGAACCAAACAGTGGTTGAGTTTAAATGGATGAAATTATATGTGAAGGTATTACATTGTATGAAAGTATGCCGATGCTGTTAGATTACCAACCGGAAACATAAGTCCCTACTGAATACTCAACTAACTTGGAGCTGGCATTCAATTTTACTACTGTCTGGATGGAGTAAAATTCGTTCGAGTAGGGACTTATATTCTCGGTTGGTAATCTAACAGCATCAAAACAATTTAATACATTCAAAGATCGTTTCATCCATTTAAACTCAACCACTGTTTGGTTCTGAAGCTAATTAGCAACTTCTAAATTAGTTCACTGAAGATTCACTGATAAGTCCGAAAACTTTTTTTTTGCCAATACCTAGACAACCACATAGTAGGGACAAAGAGCTCTGAATCCTGGAGAACTATAAAAACGATGAAAACAACGACAAAAAACCAAGTCATAATAAATAGAATACCAGAGAACACATGGGTAGAGCATTTTGAGAACTTATTACCAGAGATAAAAGAAAGGTTTAAACAGACAAATGAACAGGTGGAAGTAGAAGGAAGAATAGAAATATCAATAGAACAAGTGAAAGAAGCAGTTAAGGGAATGAAATTAAGAAAATCTTCAGGCCCAGGCGGAATACATCCTCCGAAAATTATTCGAAAGATGCTTAAATGGATAAGTTCCAGAAGAATGGAGACATTCGTATATCTCTCCAATACACAAGAAAGGCACAAAGACGGATCCTAAAAACTATAGAGGGATCGCAGTGATTGCTACTATAGGCCGACTATACTCAAAAGTACTACGAATCCTGATAGAAAATGATATTAAAGACAAACAACCCGAAAAACAAGCGGGATTAATGGCCGGACGCTCCACTATGAATAATATTTTCACATTAAAAATTGCAATGGAAAAACGAGTGCAGAGAAATAGAGAAACCCATATAGCTTTAATTGATTTGGAAAAAGCATATGACAGTGTGCCGATCTCTCAACTATGGATAGAAATGGGTAACTTGAAAATAAACCCAATTCTTATTAACGCCACTCAAAAATACTACGAACAAAACTTTGCAAGAATTAAAATAGGACAAGAAATCACTTCTCTTTTTCAAACAACAAAGAAACTAAGACAAGGCTGCTGTCTGTCACCCAGCTTATTTAAAATCTATTTGGACAGATCCTTAGTAAAATGGGTAAAAAAATGTAGAACCATGGGAATAACGATGGAAGAAAATACGCTATATACACTTTTCTTTGCGGATGACCAGGTAGTAATTGCCGAAGACAGCTACGATCTTAGCTATATGGTAAAAAAACTACAAGAAGAATATGAGGTGGCAGGTCTAAACATGAATATGACAAAATGTGAATATCTCTCAGTGGGAACAGATGAAATATGTGACCTAGTCTTGGAAGACGACAAAATCAAAGGCGTGCAATCCTGCAAATATTTGGGGGTCATTTTCAACAAGAAGGAAAATAGCACAGATGAAATCAGGGAAAGAATAAACAAGGGCAGAGCAGCGACCCGTGGCTTAAACTCTCTTCTCTGACAAAAAACAATTCGACGAGAAACCAAAAAATACATTTACGGTAGTATAGTCCAAAGTATTACACTTTACGGTTCGGAAGTATGGGACGTCACCAAAGCTAATAGAAACAAATTTATGACGACAGAAATGGATTTGAGACGAAGCTGCGGTAGATCGAAACTGGAGAGAGTTAGAAACGAACAAATAAGAAACGAAATGAAAATGGATCGAAATATCAATGATGACATAGAAAGAAAACAATTAATCTGGTTCGAACATGTTAAAAGAATGCCACGAAGAGTACAGATGGCCAAGAAGAGTACTTGAAATGGATCCCTCCTAAAAGAAGAAAGAGAGGACGACTACGGAGAAGTTGGCGCAACGATATTGATGAGGCAATGGCGGCAAGAGAAGAGGCAACTGCATACGACGGAAAAAGATGGAAATTGGGGGCGGAGAAGCGGAGACAGCCGTAATCAAACCGTTATTATATATATATATATATATATATATATATATATATATATATATATATATATATATATATATATATAAGAACAACCATGATGTATGGCAGTGAATGCTGGGAAATTAAAAAGAAAGAACAACGCATAAATCCGGTGGAAATGTATGGATGAGCGGAGTGGCTCCAATTGATAACAAAATGCGAGAATACACATTAAAATGGTTAGGTCATGTTTAAAGTCGAAATAGTCATCATCCAATGCCAAGAATTTCTGCCTTATCAGTATCTGAAAGCAGTCTAATGGCTTGTACTGGGTCTCGGGGGTAACAAGACATGCCGATAACCTTGTTGAAGCAAAACTCTGAGAAATATACACAGGTTTCACAACAAGTGAACAAGCAAATGCTACTTTTACGTCTAAGCCGTGACCTCTAGAAAATGCATGACGTATTTTGGTTTTGCTTCATGTAGCTTCAAGAGGGTGCGATGTGAGTTTTTGGCCCCTTTACATTGGAATAAATCAGATAAGCGAATAAACCTTGACATAACATTTTGGTCCTCCAAGTTTTGGGGTTGAGCAGTGAGTTAACACCCCCTCCCATTTAAACATTTATAATTTTATTGCCCGCATGAAAAATTTCGTTGAGAAACTCGATATGAAGATTTAACGCGCCTGAAGGCGTTAAAACAGCAACAAGTAACATTTTATTAAATTTTTTGCCAAATAAATCTAAAATTTATTACGAACATAGAACCTTAGAAACCATCTTTTTATTTAAATTTATTTATTTTATTTATTTAACAACAAAAACAAAATTCATACCATATCAGTTGGCCCAACGTTAGATTCATAAGAAAATTAAATTTTAGAGAACGAAAATAAAAGCGCAGCGTAAATTTTAGAAGTTTTAATGCATTGAACATTTTTGAATTTCCTAATTATAGAAAATATTTTACAGCGGAATATTGATTAAACAAAATAATAATAAATTTTAAAAAACGCATAGAATATGTAATATTAACAAAAAAAAAATGTGAAAGTTACATCCCCTTTATTTTTAATGGCATCCACAATTCTTCGAGAAATAGTTTTTACCAAGGTCTGACAAAATTCTAATTCTAAGAAAATTAAATTTTAGAAAACAAAAATAACAACATTTTTAAATTTCTTTATCATAGAAAATATTTAAACAGAATAATAATAATAAATTTCATTCACAATTCTTTGAGGCTTAGTTTTTAACATAAGTTCTGACACAATTCTAATGTAAACGAATCCCATATTTCTTACAATTTTTCCTTCAATTCGTTGACGGACCTGACAGGATGTTTTCTTTTCGCGCCACAAAGTCTCTATCGGGGACAAGTCGGGACTGTTAGAAACACATTCCAGAAGTGGTATGCCATGGTCTTCAACCATTTTAAACTCGTTTTTTGAGGTTTGACAACCTGCGCCGTCCTGTTGAAAGACAAAATCTTCCGTTGATGTTAAACGGTGTTCCATAATTGGTAATAGATATTCTTCTAAAATATTCAAATATTTGTCAGTGTTTACAATCCCATCGATAAAATGTAACTTTCCTAGAACTTTAGACGACATGCTGTCCCAGATCATGACACATGCAGGAAATTTGACTCTTCTCTTCAGACAGTCGGGATGGAAAGCTTCATTTTTCCTGCGAATGACGCGATTTCTACTGTCTCCAACACACACTTCAAATTTGGACTCATCACTCCATTATATTGAATCCAATAGGGATTGAGTCCAATCTTTATGCTCTTCTGACCATCTTAGAATATTTTTTTGTTGTTGTAATGTTAAAAGTGGCTTTCCTGAGCCTAAAATAAAATGAAATTTATTAAAAACAATTCGTACTAATTTTTTTAACTATAAAACTTACTTTGTAAGTACGAAATTCTAATTTATGGGCCTCTCGATGACATGTTGATGTAGAAACGTATCTTCCAATAATATCACTCCATAAAACGCTTAACTCCAAATAATTTGCTCGCCGATTTTTAACTATAAATCGTCTTAATGCCCTTCGATCTGCTTCTGTTATTTTACATCGACAACTTTACCTCGGCCCATTGTACAATCCACAAACGACAAAAAGCTGTACAATACTACAAAAACATTTGACATTAACTGACAATATTATTGTTTTGATGTCATTTTTCCATAGTTATCTCTGGATTTAACGTAATTATGAAAAAATCAACATATCGCACGTTGAAAACAAAAGTGACACTATGCCAAATTTACAATTTTACACTAGAGCATTTTTTAATTTCGGGTATAAAATTAATAAGATAATTTTGTTTTTTTAACAATATATGGCAGTGTTTTTCTTAATATTAGTCTTGATTTGCAATATATTTAATGGCTAAATACATCACCTGGTGTAATATTCTGACAAAATATTTCACAAGCTAAGCTAAAACTGATTTTTGTTTTTAGTGTCATTTTTGTTTTGCATGATTTGGAAAATATTTGCTAATAGTGACATGTTTTGCTTATTTATTTTAAGGAGTACACTGTGAAATAAAAGTTAAAAAAACGTTTTTTTTTTATTTTTAATAGAAAAATTATAAACCAAACTACTAAATTGTGAACAGAAGTGGTTAACAAACAGAAAATTAAAATTCTAAGAAATATTGTTTTTACAATAAGTTTAATTATCTTATTCTTTTAAAATGTGATTATAATAGGAATGATAAAATTGAG